ACAGCGTGGTGAGTTTTTTCAGGTACAACTACTTGATCAGTTGTAGTTAATGATAATTCACATCGAGAGTCCTAACGTACATCATACCAACTATAAAATAATCATGGTCATCATACATTCAACAAATTGTTAAAGAAATCAGACCTTTGTTGAAGCAATCAAACATTGCCGCTTTACAAGCAAAGCTTAAAGTGGAGATATTATATCTCCACTTTCTCCACTCACTCCCTTAACTAAATTACTATAAAAGCCAAGATACTTTCTTACTAAATAAACCATCCTCTGAATATCCTCTAAATATCATCTAAATATCATCTGACATAATTCCGTTATTATCTATTAAGTTTAACTCTTATTCTGTTGACTTTCATTTGCGTGACTACTTCCTGATTATCATTCAAGATCTCTTCTGACCGATCTTTTCTACAGCGGCAGATTATATATTATTACCTTATACTTTACTAATTGAAAGACTCAGTCTCTTTCTATATTTTCTATCTCTATACTTCTTGCGCGATAATCAAAAATCTTTAACAGGTTATGAGCCCAGTCGGAAGTCACGTAATCAAACTTGCAGAAGGACTGCATGTTCCACGTCTGGAGAGAGCCAACTACCAAAAGTGGCTCGTACTTATCGAAGCTGCACTAAGGCACTTCAATCTTTGGGAATCACATATTATTGCGAAACCACCCAGTAAACCCGATCAGCCGTACCTGATCAACAATGCCAAAGCTTATAGCATGATATCTGCCACACTAAGCAAGGACAATGAAAAACTAGCAGAGGACCTCAACGGTATTCCTCTATCAGCTCACCTCAGTTTCGCTGCCATAAAGAAACATCACGAAACAGGCAACATGAGCGCAAAACTAGAGCTCGAAGACGAGCTCGACTTAATAGTATACGACACCCAGGTCGGTGTTAAGCAACTATACGACGAAATGTTTGACATACGGAAACTATTGTCACAAATTGGCGTCAAATGGTCCGATGAGGATTATGTACGAAAACTCTTGAGGAAACTACTAAAAGGATCTTCACATTGGGGCAACATGCGTACCAGATTTGACAGCTTTACTAAATCAAATTATGCAACAGCTGACATCAGGACAATGTTGGCATACGAAGAGCAGCAACTTATCACTGTCATGCTACTTCCATCTTTAGACAACGCCGAAGTCGCGTTACATTCTAACAATAACTTAAGAAGATCTAACAACAGCAAGAATAGCTCTGGATCAAATTACAATAACAAGCCACACTTCAGAGGCTTTAACAACGGAGATAACTCAAACGATTCTCATCAGAACGTTCAAAACTCCAACAATTCATCGTACTGGCCAAACGGCAAGAAAAAGGTACTATGTAATAACTGTGGAAGACTAGGGACCCACACAACTAAAGACTGTCGTGCTCAGTTCTCGAATAACAGAAAATCAAATAGCAACTACGCATCTACGCCATGCGCTAATTCAAATGCTAATGATGACTTCTTATTTCACAACACCATGGTTTCAGCAAAAACAGACTACTGCAGTATCAGCAGAAACAGTGTCAACGAGATCATTCTTGACTCGGGTGCTACCACTCATATGGTGTGCAACAAGAACTGGCTGTCTAATACAGTACCATTGCAAAACCACAGCGTTAAAGGTTCAATGAAAACGGCTACAAATGCCGAATGCAAAGGATCGCTCCAACTCAAAGTCTGGAATGGAAAAGTCAGTCGCGTTATTACTATCAATAACGTGCTATATGTTCCTGAATTCGAGGTAAATCTAATCTCTCCAGGAAAACTAGCTGTCGAGTTTGGATGCTGGACTAAGCTCAATAAACAAGGAGCTGTCCTCTATACCAAGGACAATGTCGAGGTCTTACGTGCACACAAAGTCGGCACACTAGACATTATCGATTGCGAAATTCTCATTC